ATCTCTCTGCATTCTCTTGTCGCCCTCTCTGTTGCCTGTCCCGACGTGGATTGGGGGAAATTCACAACTTCCTCTAAAGGAACCCTGTGACGTATGCGCTCCTGTCTCTTATACCTCGAACACGGGGAACAAGGCAGATCGACAGCTAGATACATATTATACATTGAGGGGGTAAGCAGGGGGTGAAGGAAAATCCAAGTGAACCTTAAAGGTAATACAAAGTTTTGAGAAATTTTGAAATTGGGTGGATAGTGATTCTTTACAATTTTGATATATTTGGATGCCCCTGTGGATGTATTATAAGCACTAGAATATTTAGCCCCTAAAACACCTCTGCTTTCGTGAAAATTGATAGCTGCGAGCATGAAAATCTCAGAATATGTAGTTATGATATATAATTTCTAAATGGGAATAGCTAATCGGTCGATTTTAGTCAAGAAACATTGTTTTATAGCTTAATTAATATCTTGACCTTGAGAGGGAGCCATACAACATAAAGAGTTAATTATTTACAATTCTATAACCTTAATATATATAACCTTAGACTCGATTTCAACCGCGACAACAGTCACTGAATATCGTAGGTTGTAGGATCGCTGATGCCCCCAACATGTTCATTTTAACCAAATTCATGACCCCATACCAAAACTTTGTAGTACCTTAAACTTTAAAGCCCCACTGCACTACTTATAGCTACTTGCGCCCTCTACATAGCATACAATGCCTAATCGGTGACCACGCTGGGAGGTATAATCACTCCTGGCCAAACCAGTACTCTTATAGAAAGCAGAAAATCAGAGAAGCAAACTTTTGTAAGTTTGAACGAAATCGGACATGAAATATAAAAGTTATAAATTCATTGAAATTTGTTTAATCACTAAATTACGTTTGGGAACTTGATTTCAAATTGGCTGGATTTGTTATTAATATGGCTCTATGAAATTTCTTCTGATACACAAATTGACTAAAATGTCAAACTTTCTAAACGTGTGATTCTGGAGGACCTTTTCTTTATGGAGGCCTTGTAATAATACAATATCAATACTAAATTTTGAGTAGTGCCCCGCGGCATAAATCGCTTGGGAGAAAAAACGAAAATGAACGATATTTTTGTTCACGAAAAATGGGTCAACAATCATGTTTAACGAGCTTTTATTCCTCCACCATTATAGACTAGGATAAATATTTCATTTTTATATCATGTTTTGTTAAGTCATTTTCTCTCTCTTTCTCTCTCTCTCTTTCTCTCTCTTTCTCTCTCTTTCTTTCTATCTCTCTCTCCCCTCTCTCTTTCTCTCTCTCCCTTTCTCTCTCTCTCTTTCTCTCTCTCTCTCTCTCTCTCTCTCTCTCTCTCTCTCTCTCTCTCTCTCTCTCTCTCTCTCTCTCTCTCTCGCCATTCGATTGAGAGGCAATGTGTACACCGTGAGAGTAGTGTCATGCCGGGGTTCGAACCCAAGGCCTCTCCGGTCAAGTGTCAAAACCAAGGCTTGACGATACCTCACAATCAACGTTTCACATCATCATCATCATCCTCATTATAATTATCATAATCATCATCAACCTCTTCATCCTTATCATTATTAATATCATCATCATTATCATCATTAATACGAGTATCATTATTATTATCCTCTTCTTCATCTTCATCCTCATTACCATCATCATCTCATCATCATCTTCACCATCACTATCTTCATCATCAACATCACTATCTTCATCATCATCTTCATCATCATCATCATCATCATCATCACTATCTTCATCATCATCTTCATCATCATCTTCACCATCACTATCTTCATCATCATCTTCACCATCACTATCTTCATCATCATCATCTTCACCATCACTATCTTCATCATCATCTTCACCATCACTATCTTCATCATCATCTTCACCATCACTATCTTCATCATCATCTTCACCATCACTATCTTCATCATCATCATCTTCATCATCACTATCTTCATCATCAACATCTTCATCATCACTATCTTCATCATCATCTTCACCATCACTATCTTCATCATCATCATCTTCACCATCACTATCTTCATCATCATCTTCACCATCACTATCTTCATCATCATCTTTACCATCACTATCTTCATCATCATCATCTTCACCATCACTATCTTCATCATCAACATCACTATCTTCATCATCATATTCATCATCATCTTCATCATCATCTTCACCATCATCATCACCATCATCTTCGGTACTCTATAGCTAATCAGAAGTAGTTCTTAATTGGTTAATTGACTCTCCTTGTTCAGTGAAAGCCCTAAAAAGAACTAGACGGAGATCGAAGGTGGAGACAGAACCAGTAGTCGATCGAACGCTTGGAATTTGTGACAAGCAAACATAGCTTCTTGGCTGATCTCAGGATGAACGTGTCCTTCGAAACCATACAAAGTGCAAGCCTAGCTGCTTGGGACATGAAATTAAGCTTTCAATTTAAAAGTCATGTATTTTCTTATTTTTTACTTTAATTTTTCCATCGAAAGCTCTGGCATCTGTAACTCTCATCATCTATATATAAGGGTGGATTTCCCTTTAAACAAATCAAGCAATTATTACAAACATACCTTTTTCAATGAAACTTGGAATGTTACTATCTTTTATTCTTTACATTTACATTGGTATATGAGCAAAGACCTCATCAAGCTATTAAATATAGAACATTGGCATGTATTTATTATCATGTGTTAAGGCAGGCGAGTATATTGATTGTACAGGGTGTATCAGCAACATTAAAGGATAAATACAAACTGGATCAAAATAATTAATGTACCAAAAAAAATCTTTAGAATAGAAAAAACGATAGCTTTAAGCTCAGTTTAACCATGATTAATTAACAACTATGTCGAAATACAAATTTTAAGGCCTGGACCAACATTATGACTTGTTGAAAGCACGCCATCGCTTTTTACAATGAAGAACACTTTTATGCTTTTAATAATATTTTCAATTTCAAACATTACGGCTTGTCCTACCTCACAACACGGAATGTATGCAAATTCATTTGTAACGAGGCACTTGACAAAGATTTGTGCATTCAATTTGATTACATTACAAAAATGGTCTATTTGAACTTGTTTAGTTACATTATCTATCCATACTCTTTCAATCACCATTTACTTCTTCATCATCACAACAAATAGACAATATAAAATATATTTTAGTTTAGTTCCTGAAGTGGGATTTTGTTGAAATAAAGCTAAACCAAAATTAATCAACTAACTTTCATGTGGACCAAAAAGTTGAAAAGTCAGAAAGCATATATTATGATATGTGCTGGGGTGGGATTGGAATGTACACACTTAACATGCCGTAACTGAAGAAAATGTTGAAAAAAGAAAGGAAGGGGTGGGGGGGGGGGGGGGAGCTGCTCCTTTCTGTTTTGAAAACCAAACTATAAAGTGCAATATCTATTGATTCTTTGGCAGCTGAGTATTCTAAAAGGATTGTGTTAAAAAATGATAGCTAGTAAATATAACATTCATATCAATAATTATATACATTATACTGGTAATAGTAATAAAGTTGAATCTATAACAATTATGAATTGTTTTCATGGGTTGGCATGTACTCTCCATATCTCTGACAAAATAAATTACTTCCTTTTCTATGCTTGTTGATATTAAACAAGTTATATAGTCCATGATTATCCTACATAAAGAAAATGATTATCAAAACAAAAATGATTACACATTGCAAAGAAGATATAAAATGTTACGATTGCCTCTGAATTGCAGTATTTCTGTTATTACCACGTCTTTTGTAATATCAAATTGCCATAATAATTAATGTCATTGACACTATGAATTCCACTGTAATTTAATCCCTAAAAATAGGAAATTTAAATCCTGCAAAGAAAATTTATACAAGCTAAGCAAATAACAAACATATCCTCTTTCTGCAGTTTATCATTCTACCTGAATTTGGAATAGAAAATATTCTGCAAAATTCATTACATTCAATTTAGAAATCCCAATTCTGAGGCATTACATTGAAATCGATCGGATGAACCTGCAAGCCAATATTTGATATTCCATGAAATATACATTCACAATGCATATTTTCCAAGTGTATTTACAAAATAATACTGAGAAGAAATAGTTATGATTAGTTTTTATTCAATCTTATTCAAAAAACAACACAAATATATACATTCTCGAATCGTTTAGACATGTATCTAGGCAGAATTAGGCACTGTAATTTGAAAGCAATTGAAAAAAAAAATGAAAGAGAAAACTGAAAGTAATAAATTTTCAAATATATTTGTACAGAAAATCAAATGATATCACAAGCGCTCTATGATTTACAGTCACTCTAGAATAAGTCCATATTAAACTAAATATGCAAAACAATTTAGAAAAGACACATGTCATTTGAGAAAGATGCAGGTACAAATGAACATTGTTTGCACAAAATTTATATTGAAATTTTTCATTAAACTCCCATGTTTATGAGCTGAAAGACGTGGACGTTGAAAGGCTTGGTACACACAGATTAAGTCAACGATCTAAATTTAAGTTAAGCACGATTCATGCACCAGTGATAAACCGATAGATTTGAATAGGAAGAGACAATGTAGGGACAAGGAGAGAGAGAGAGAGAGAGAGTGAGAGAGAGAGAGAGAGAGTGAGAGAGAGAGAGAGAGAGAGTGAGAGAGAGAGAGAGAGAGTGAGAGAGAGAGAGAGAGTGAGAGAGAGAGAGTGAGAGAGAGAGTGAGAGAGAGAGAGAGAGAGTGTGAGAGAGAGAGAGAGAGAGTGAGAGAGAGAGAGATGAAGAGAAAGGGAGATAGTGAGACAAACTGAAAGAGTGACAAAAAGTGAAAGAAGGATCGAGAAAGAGAGAGACGAACAGGTAGACAGAAAGTTAGATAGACAGTTCAAGAAAGTGAGGATGTGAGATAGAGATGGAGAGCGGGAAGAATGGACAGAAAAACAAGAATTTACAGAGAAGAGAGAGGGGAAGGAGGGAGGGGGAGGGAGGGGGAGATGCAAAATAGAAATATTAATAGTCTGAAGGGAATGTATTTGTCAAGAAAAGAATGAGAGACAAAGAGACACAGTAAAGGGTGTAAGAAAGAGAGGAATGAAGTTGATGGAAAATGTGGCTTGTTTTGAAGCACCATATAAACCTGAATGCAAAGCCCAACCAAGAATGATTTTACAGCAGCTATAGTAGACAAGTGGCCTGTCTCTCACTGAAGCCACATACATGTATATCGTTAGCTCAGAACCAAAAGGGTGTTAACTTTGTAATTAAAGTATATGAGATAACCCCCTTCTGGCTTCGAACAGACTGAAAATCCTGCATAATATCATGATAATTTTTACATTGGAAATTGCTCTTAAACTACAAGCACAAAGAAATGACACAAACAAAGCACAAGACTACAATTAAAACATGACTACTAGGAAATAACAACATTTGCAACTAATATCAAAAGCACAATCCAGTGTTTTTCTTGAATTATAAAAAATAACATTTCTAACAATTCTCACATTTTTCAAATGCTTATTGCAATTCTTCTTTTTTTCTTCATCACCACCATCCTCTTAGGGCAATATCATTCAAAAATATGGTAGATACGTCCATTAGGAGTGATGAACTGTATATATAACATTTTACATGTACATTTCAATAATTTTACAAAAAGCTCCGCTTTACTGTTTGTTTCTGTCTTTAGTAACAAAAGGGTAAAATATATCTATGAATCTAAGGTAGACTGCTCAATAACCTTAATTTAACCCTGATGAAAATACACTGTAATTATTAAAAAGGCAGTTATTATTCATTTACCAAATATGAATGTAATATTTGAGGCAGAAAGGTTTGTTACTTTTAAAAAGATTTCATATCATTGGTGCTTTTGCGCGAGTTAAGTTAATAAGCTAAACTACATGACTTGTAATATTGGTTTTATTCAATGCACTTTTAAGCTTAGTAAAGAGGAGTTATATTTAGCTTTCTTTTTAAGTGACCTTGATATTGAAAGTGTTTGTGCGTTTGTTTTTATTTCACTGGTTGAAACAACAAATCTACTGCAGGATAAATGAGCCCAGAATGAGTCTTGGCAATTTTTCTCTCCAAATATGATTCCCATATTTACCAGAGCTCAAGATTAGCTTTAAACTGTGCAATGTGACCCTTTAAGGTTAGTCAAAATTATCAAACCTATAAAAACCTATAAATTAATGTAGTATGGCCATAGTCAATATCACATAATTATATTACATCATCTAAATGTTTGGAGCTAGTCAAATCATCTCCCATGTCAAAAAGTTAGTCAAAATAATCAAACTAGTCAAATTGCATGGATGTAGCATGGCCACGTGGCATACATCTTTAATATGACATGTCTTAAAGTTAGTCAAACCATCATCCACAGCATGACTTGTGTGCAGTTCATGTACATTCACTGGAATCATAAGCTTGAGTTTAACTCTTTTCCCAACAGGAACCGAGCAGTTCCTGTGGGAAGCCTATGGGAATGGGAGATTTCGGTATTCAAGGAGTTAAACATACCCCTTCAAATTGTCAACACAAGAGCAGAACTCATCATGCTACTTAACTAGGGACTTTAAGATTTGCCGAACGACAATGTGGATTGCTATGATTGACGTCCTTTTAATGCACTGCCTTCAGTGGACGTCACACGTATCAGTCCACGCAAATCTAAAAGTCCATATTGATTCAAGTCATGATGACTGAAAATTGGCGACAAACTGATTACCTTTGATGCAGTGACTAACCACTTGCCACTCTCATATCGCTTATATCTATTTACCAAAAAACCCACTAAAACAATGTTGCTTTTAATATTACACTTACTATTTGTGACTAACCAAATATTTAGTCACAAAATCGTTTTTAACAACTAATAAGAGGAAAAAAGAAGAAAAAATAAGTTGGAGAACATGACTCTCCTTGACAGTAACTTCTCTCTTACACTGTTACTGAGGTGCAAAACATCGTGAATAATCCAGTTCTGCGTATATGGTGCATAATTGTGAGGTCCATTAGTTCTAAAGAGTCAATATTCCAGTCAATATTCAATTAGTCACTCTCTCCTTCTCTGACTCCATCCTGGATGACTCTATTACCATGACTACCCAATATGATATCTTGAAATATTTTGTATATGGTGCATAATTGTGAGGTCCCTTAGTTCAGGGGAGTCAATACTCCAGTCAATAGTCGATTAGTCACTCTCTCTTTCCTTGACTCCATCCTTTTACCATGACTACCCAATATGATATCACATGGCCTCCCCGTTCTCTTCATTATCCATGTTCATCGACTGGAAGCTGAGGACTGGTTCTTCCATCTCGTCAAGCTGCTTGCGCGGTCTGAAGATGTTACCCGCTCTGCTCGAAGAATTTCTGAAATAGTGGAGAAAGAAATTAAAGCAAACCGACATCAAATCTACAATTTTAAAAGTTTCAAGTAAAATCATCGCAATTTGCTTATTTCACCATTATGATTTTAAAGCTTATCTGTACTAGTTTATAGGAGGGATTAGACCGCCCTGCAAGGTCACTGGACAGGTGGTTATCTCATCCACTCAGCTCTCAATTAACATAAGAAAAAGAGGATCATGGTGGACCAATGGTCACCGATTAGGCATTGTTTGCTATATAGAGGGAGCAAGTAGCTACATGTAGGACAGTGTGGCTTTAAGAGATATTCCACACTTCATAGACATTCAACTATACTTTCCAGCTTGCTTTAGATACAAATTTGATAAGTCTCAAGATAATGAAATAAATCGGATATTGTAAAAGAGAACTGGGTAATTAAAACATAAGACAGATTCGTTAGGCCAAACTGATATCCACGACATATATGTAGAGTGGCCTCTTTAACGTTCAAAGCTAAGTGAGAAAAAAGCTGAATCAAAACTTATACAGGGACTGTCCAGAAGAGCGAAAATTCTAAGTTCAATTTAGATAAAGTTAGCTAGCTAATAAATGTAATTGATCATGGTTTATGATTACATTGATTTACATAATACATCACTACACATGGATAGATATGGACAACAGAATCAGATTAAAAAAAGCCTCTTGCCTTAATATGCATTATGAATTTTGGAATGAAATCTGACAACTGTACAAGTTGCTGTGCCTAAAGTTGGACAACCCAGTGTTTCTGAATTTTCACCATAAGAAAAATCAATAACACATAATTTGTCCATGTCCAAAGGTTTTGAAGAATACTTACGAAGGGCTAGCAGGCCGCCGCTTGATGTACTTAATTAGTCCATACGATATCACAACAACCACCAACCCTACTAAGAGACCGATGAAAAATATACCGGCTGGGTGGATACCTGCAATGAACATCAAAGAAAAAATGAACATAACAAATTTAGAATACAATATCAAGCAAAAATAATAAGTCTTTTTATCTGAGGTACATGTAGTGTCATCAGTATTAATACTGTTCTCCCAGATAGCCCTAAGATCATATAAGTACACCTGCTTTAGGGCTGCGACCATGATCAGGCACTCTAGCTTTGAAGGACATTTTCCTGTATATGGGTGTCTACTTACTTCACCTGGGTAATGGGTGGCAAATGTAGATTAATGTTTTGCCATAAGGTATTAAAGCGATACTGAACTGAAAAAATTTCTACCCTAGCATGGTGTTTATTGCCGAGCGCCATCTCATGATGAACTTGCCAACAGTGCCTAAAACAGTACCTAATTCCCACTTCACAGGCAGAGGACTCGATGTGAGAACTAACATCGCAGCTAGGGAAGCAGCGAGTTACAGGACCATACTGCTACACCTGACCTGAGTTGTGTCTCTGGTACAATATGACTTTAATGAAGTTTCTGGGATTCTTATTTGAAAAACGTGACATAACCACACTTCTCCCGACTTGTTTATTAGCACTTGCAAATTTCAAAGATGTTTCTGGTTTGACTGTAGTTCACTTTTGTATGCCCTTTTGGATCTTAAGTTTTAAGGATAATAATATCAATCATTGCAATAATAAGAACAACAACAACAATAGTAATAATGATGATAATAATGATGATAATTATAACATTACTACTACTACTACTACTACTAATAAAAATAATTATAAAAATAATTCTACTGGTACTATTACTACTACTACTAATAATAATACTAATGATAATAATAACATTAATTTAATAATAATTGAATAATAATAATAACGATACCAATACTGCTAAAAATACTACTACTAATAATAACCATAATTATAATAATCATATAAGATCTATACGGCACCAAATCCAGTTGAAATCAAACCCTCCAGATGCACAAGTGCACAATAAGAAACTACATAAAAGCTTTGTATGCAACAAGAACTACAATTTGAGTAGGTTACAACACATAAAAAAGGAAAAAAAAGAAGAAAGAGAACAGGTATTTAAGAAATAAATATTTTCCTTACCGCTTGCAGATTTGCTTGTAATAGGGCTCGTTCCACCTCCTCCTGCATGGGACCCTGGTTTACAAAAAAAATAAAATAAAACATAGACAAATGATGTAATGTTAATGACACCTTAACTGACATCAGGGGGCATTTCATCAACATTGGTCTGCCAACAACTGACAGTGCTGACTAAATTTGACCAATCAGAGGCCTGGAAAATAAAACGCCCCCAGATTCGATTTAAAAAAAAAAAAATTATACAGCCAAACCGGCTTTAGCAACCACCTGTATAGAAAGAACACTGTCTACATACCCGGTTGACCAAATTTTAGTTTCCCTTGATATTGGTTTCTCATTGAAACATGTACTAAAGGAACCTGTGAATGAAGACCACCTGCCTATAAAGACCATTTGTATTGTCTCCCTTGGGCACTCCTTTCAAGGTACATACTCATACATCGAACCTTGTTATACCAGGGCTTAAGTTCAAAATGAAGAAAAATGACCTGTCAAATGACTTTGTTATCACAAAGGTTTGCTTTGACAGTGTTTTTCTAACAATATGTTCCCCACTTCCTGTATACAGACAAAAAGAATAACATTTACACTTACATTTACATGTTGGTATGCCAGCATTCCATTCGCATACCTCCAAACATTCCATGAATTGGACTCCCTGCAACTCGTAACCTTCATCGCAACTGAATGAAATTTTGCTGTTGAGCCCATAGCGCTGTCTCCGTGGCGACCACGTGCCGTGCATGAGATATCCGGGTTGATCGCACCAATCTGCAAATTGGGCAAAGAGCAAAGGTCATTTGTACAGTGCGTGCACCAAATAAGGTCCGCATGTCATACTTCAAAATGATTACACTATTGTTTGAAAGATCAAATAATGACCTGACTGGTTCATGGATATGCTTCTACCCTTGTCAACATGTCTTGTTGCAGTATATTTGATAACTTTACAGTAAATCTGGTCTAACATCACCCTTCCCCCAAGCACCCCCTCCTCCTCCCCTTCCACATGATTAAATGACACCCCCTGATTGCAATTGATGGTTTCAGAGATGACCGAAAAAAGGAGGTAGAGGAGACTCACTTTTGCACATAACTGATGCTTCAAAGTTCTATCCACTGAAATTTGATAATCTTGCAACTTACTTTTACCCTTTACAGCATTTGGTCTAACACCCCCCCCCCCCCCACACACCACCTTTCCGAATGGTTTAGCGAGGGCCAAAATGCAATCATGGGTTTTAAAGATGATCAGAGAAAGACAGAAGGTAAGTGCAGAAATGCCAACCTCTTGACACAAAAAAAAACAGACCGAGTATTTTGAAAAATCAGATTTTCACGAGAACTTGACACTACCATTGGCCCGTCGGGCCCGGGCCAGTAAAATTTCAGAAAAATGTTTGCTCTTTCATTCAAATTTAATGAAAAAATTGTAAAGCAAAGTTTTTGTCGGGGTTGCGGGGATTTACTTGTACATGTTTCTATGCGATTCCGCTGTTTTCAAGGGTTTAAAAAAAAAAAAAAAAAAGAAGTTTTTTGTTGTTGTTTTGTTTAAAAAGATGAAAAATCGTATTTCAAGATTTTAAGATCGTATTTCACTCTTATAATCGTACTAAATACGGTTTAATCCTGCTGGTTGGCATCTCTGTAAGTGTACATATAGATGAGACTCACTTTTGCATGTGACTGCTGCCTCAAAGTTGTACCCCGTGCAGGGGAACGAACCCCCCGACTTGGAGCAATCCCTCAGTCTCTCTTCTTTTCCGGTGCAGTTCATTGAATGCCAGTGCATCAGCTTCCTCTCCTCGATCTTCGGTGTCCAGCCCCGTTCGACGGAGAAGGCGCTGCAGTAGCCCAACTGACGGCACGCCACCTGCCCCTCCTCCATGCCCCAGTCGTTGCCGCAGATCAGCCCCCACTCACCGTCCACCAGAGTCTCAATGGCGCCCTCGGACATCACAGTCCCGCCAACCAGTCGTATATCTGCATGATAAAGCAGGAAACAGGCATGATATATCATTTGCTGTATGGAACAGTGTCCAAGGAAAGTACCTTGATATGTTGGATCAGTTTATACATGCAAGTACATGTACATGAACATGAAAGAAACTTGTACATGAGTACCGAGTTGCTACCCTAGTCATAGTGTCATACTGCCAACCGACTCCAACCAGTCGTATATCTGCATGAGAAAGCAGGAAACGGACATAATATATCCTTTGCTTCATGGAACAGTGCATTTCTTTTTCTACGTTTATTTGTGTGTCAGTATTTATTACTTGACAACAGAAAAGGACTGGTAACGGAAATTACGGTAGATTTCAATCAATGCAAATGCAATCTATAGATAAAATGACAACAGAGAAAGGAAAATTCTAACCTGAAAGACAGAGTGAAACAAGAATTGTAATAATCATGATGGCAAAAAAAGGAATTTCAAGCAAGAAAAAGGAATTCACAAAAACGAAACTTACAACCACGCGCGACACACTTCCAATGCAGAAATGTTCATTCATCATGCTGTTTTTTTCCATACAAGCAGGTAATTGTTTGGATGGTTATTTTGGTATTATCGGCATTTCATTTTTTTTGAGAAAATTTTTCTCTTCAAGTATGTTTTAAAATTAGTTTTCTATTGAATTTGTGATCAAATCACCATTTTAGGGCAGTTGTTTGACGTGCGGTATGTAAAAAAAAAAAAACATATTTTATGAAGAAAAAACGTAGTACCGTAATTTGAAGGAAAAAACGGAGTAATTCTGGCAAAAACGGAATGGTTGGCAGCTCTGTTAATTCCAATGAAAGCTTCAAAGACAAGACTTCTCATGGAGTGGATTCATTTACTGAGGAAAAACTACCACTATGCATTTAAAGCTGAATGTCTATGCTTACACTACACTCCCAGACAACATGTACCAGCCAACCATTACAAGGCATAAGCAAGACTACAAAATGCACTAGATATAGTAAAATACATGAAAGAGAAAGCAATATGGGTACCATGCGCATAACAGCTTGGAGATGCTTTTTACTCAAATCTACAGCGGAGTGATTTAGAGTTGACAACAATTCAAAACTAAAGGAATGCTATTGCTGGTGAGACTTCTAAACAGGGACCCATTTCACAAAGCCTTTTTTCAATGACATATGACAAAAAATCAGTGACAAATCTGCTGATAACTAATCAGAAGCAAGGATTTCACTAGCTTATAACAAAAACTGTCATTTGTCACTGATGACAAGTTTTTTTAAATGGGGCCCTGGTGTTATTCATACATATTGGATGAAGTACGAGGTTGATTCAATATTTCAGGTCTAATACAATACATGGATACCAGCTAGACCAGCTAGTATACCAGCTAGACATTAGGTATATACTGGAGCACATGGCAAGGAGAGACAGATTTAGGAGCTCATGGTGAGATATAAGTAGAGTGGAGAATAAAGATGTAGGATTGGAGTGAGTCTGTGAGTGACAGAGAGAGCTGAGGGAAACACAAAGGAGAGGCAAGAGAGGTGGAGGAAAGAGGAAAGAGGGAAGAGTTGGGAGGGAGAGACAGAGGTGGAGTGAGGGGGGCAGTTTGGAATGAGATGTGGTGCTACTAAAGGAAGGTGAGGAATAACATACACAAAATAAATGGCATAAGAGAGCGAGGGGGGGGGGGGCAGAAAATGAAGTGGATGAAGGGAGAAAAAAGGTTAAATCAACAGAGAACTAAGAAAAAAACACTTGTAAAGCAAAAGACACGTACATCGTCAGGTAGAAACAGAAGCACCTATGATTAATGATGTATGTCCAGGTATATATATATATATGTGCAAGATTGTTATTACATTACAATACAAAAGCGTGAGTTGAAATTTTCAACAACAAAAAATCTAAACTGATTCCATTAACTGAATCAAAAGCAAGAGGAAAACAAATACTATTTTTGTACAAAACATAAATGTATGATTAAAAGCCGATTGTATACACCACAAATGAAATTATGTCACAATTACAATAGACATTAACAGAATATAATAGTATGTATGTACACACAACGTCACATACAGCTACATGTTCAAGCTCCTGAATATTCAAATCTCATTATTAGTAGTCCTGACCTGGCATAATATCAAGTAAAAGCTAAATAAAGGGACACACAAAGCAGAGCTCCATTACATATTTTTAGTAGTATTATCATTAATTCATCATTTTTTTTCTCAACAAGAGTAGGTATTCCATCTTCAATTCAGGGAGATTCATCCTATTACTTCAGAATGCAAGTAAAGGACTAGCAAAAATACTTGTTTTCCACAAAACAATGACAATAATGTCAGAGCGAGTCTAGCCTTAAGACAAATTTTTCATGTTCCAAGAAAATCATCGATTGCTAGAAGATATTATTACTCATGCTAAAACCGAGCTTGTTACTAAAATTTTTTATCCTTAATCATTCCTGTGTTCCAAAAAAAAGGAGTGTATTGTATTATAAAGGACACATGCATTGTTTTAAATCAATTTATAATAAACATTCTTGTTAAAGATTTGTAATTTGTTAGGAAAAGAGATTTGAACTCAATTTTGAGGTTTCTTTGAAAGAAGCATGTGCATTGTGTTCAAATCAAACAGAGAGGGTCATTCTTCTGATGACAAGAATTAGAGCAATACACTGAACAGATGAATTTCAGAATTGTGGGAAAGCCCACCCCTCCCCTCTGTTATTGATGCAGGGTCGAGTTTAAGGGGAAACACTCCATTCCGCGGACTAGAACGTAAACTGGAGGCCCCATGTGTAGGAGAGTTAAGTTGATACGCTACACTTCTCGCAAAGAGTAGGGTGTAAACCCGGTGTTTAGTGTTTAGAAGATCTTTATACAGAACTTCGTGATACGCTGCATAGCCCTTTGAAGATTAACAAAAGAAGAGGATGAAGAAATCCTGGAAAGAAAGGGTTTGGCCTACAACGGCATAGTACAGGTTTCTCCTCTGTATTATTAGATTAAAATAAAATGAAATAACAAGACACCTCAAAGCATATAACATCGTAGGATAAGTGCAAATATCATCACAAGCAGTGCAACATTAGTAGGGTGTTAAAGGCCGGTAGGGGCAAGGGGGGCTCAGTAGGCACTTGCCCCATTAGCCTGGAATGTTAATGGTCCAGTTGGGCAAGTCTGTGCAAAAATACATGAAAGTGTACATGTTTGTAGCATATAATGGAATAATGACAACAGTTTCTCTGACATATGGATTAAATGAGAGGGGAGTTCATTCAGAATATTTAAAAAATGTTTGGCACCTTGAGAGGAGATTTTACTTTTTTTTAAATTGTTTTAATTAAATGTACATTTCTCACTATTGGGTAAATACAAGAAAGCAATGATACATTTTAAATTTTATACAAATTTTGGTGAACCAGATTGCCAAAAACGATATGTTACATTTTACATGCATATGGTTGTCCCTTCAAGAACGCATACTTTTAGAATGCTTGTCCTTTTCAGGCTCTGTAATCTGATGCCCATGACGCATATGTTATGTTATGCTTTTGTATGTATCAATCTTTTGTAAATTTAATTTATTTCAGCCTCTGGCTGCTATTTGAATGTTTTTATCAATAAACCATATCAAATCAAATCAAATCAAATCAAATCAAATCAAATCAGTTTGGGCAAGTGAACTTGAATGCATGGCAGAGACTAGTCCAATGGAGCAAGTGACCGCAAACGGCTCTGTAACACCCATATATTAAAACAGAATAAAACACAAGGTTAAAGGAGGACACGTAGCTAGTTTCATTCATTCAGAGACAGTCGTTACCTTTATCTGTATAATCTGCAAGAGGAAGAATCGTGAAACATGGAGATGATAAATTCAGAATGACAGGCATGCAAGTAGAGTGCTCACCGCAGTAAAGAACAACAAATAACTGTTGACTACATGTAGGTATGGGCTTCAGAAAAAGCAAGTGACATCGGCCGTTAACTCCCCCCCCCCCCTTCTCTTTTTGTGGGGGGGGGGGGGGGGGTCGGGAGATATTTGACACACATGCACACTCTACAATTACATATTAAGTCTTGATACATGTGCTCCTCTTCGATCTTGATGAGAAGCAGCAATGTTAACAAAACGGCATACTTGCACAGAAATGAAATAATATGTGCATAAGAACATAGTACATGTAGTACAGTTAACAACTAAATTATTCATAACCGTACAAATTTGTGTAAATTTTTTAGATATGTGGAAAATAGGTTTGTCCCGATCGATGTTTCTTGAGAATGTGACATATCAGAGCTTACATCCAAAAGTATTCAACAAAGGCCCTAATTGAACCAGATCACCTTTCATTCTTGTTTATTTTCTTGAGTTACGAAAAACACAGAAAACATCAACTATACAAGGGATATGAATACTTCAGTTGTTAACTGTCTGTTATACAGTATTTGACACTCAACGATGCACAGTGCACAGTGCACACAGATCTGAACATACATACATGGACATCATTACTGAATACAGACAAACAGACTCAGATGTATTTCCATGTATAGCTTCCTCACCCTTTTCTTTGAGAGCTAAGTAGAAACGAGTGTTGATTGACCTCCATGTGTCAATATGATTTGCTCAGCATTTAAAAAATGAGAGCAGGTTATTTATGATCTTCTTTTTCTTTTTCTTTTGTAAACAAGAATCTTATAGGGAAGCTAAGCTGAGCTTATTCTGCTTAAAGGTATAGACCAGTTTAGGAAACGCCCCCCTCTCAAAAAATGAAATGGAAGCTCTTATTTCCAATCATGTGAAAGAATCTATTTTGACGAATACGTGGTAATACAAATTTTGCCAAGGAACCGCCTACAAATTGATATATTATATAAATTATCATATTGAGAATGCACTTCAACATTCAAAATTTGGGCATATATTTCTGCTTTTTTGCGAATTTAGGTTGAAGTATTGCCATCTAAACCTCTGAAAGCAATATTTAAACAATATTGAACAGATATTTTGCACCCAAAACCCTAATAAACCCTTTTTTTTGGGGGGGGGGGGGTTCTTGATGCAGTCATTAGTTACATGGTGCAATATGAAGGAACAGACATTTGTAAAAACTCATTAGTACACAGCAAACAGAAAAATAGTTAAAATACTTGTATATATGATATCAAAATAATTTATGACAAAAGTGCCAATGGGATGTCATCCATTTAAATAATCTAAACTTTTTAAATTATCATAAATAAATTACTTAATCAACTTCACAAATTTTTTTCTGTAATTTGTTTTGTTCAATCAAATTATTTATCACTCACTCACTATTATTTACATGTATATAACTATCTATTCAATCATATCACTCCCCCCCCCCCCTCCCCGCCCCCTCCAACAAAACAAATGAGGCCAAAGATAAGTCCCCTATATCGACAAAGATTATCATGACCTCCACAGTTCCTGTTCAACTCATCAATCTTGTTTCTGTCTAAATTTCAAAGACTATTCTACTATTTGTTAATTGTGATTAATGAGAGAGAGAAAAAGGTACATGTTCCTATGCACATCAAGGTATCTTGACGTTGCCGGAAGTCAATATTAAAGTCATGTTAAATACAAAGGAAAATTTGAAAACATGGTTAAATGAAGTAATTTCTTAGTGCATCATGCATGACTAGATGTATTTCTTCTGTCATGGTTTCAACAACATGGTTCCCAAAATGAGCTGATGAAGAATCAAAGTGCATGAAACATGTTTTAAATGAGCTCTTTCCCCAGAAGATGGATATACATGTAAGATGATGGTTATGGTGATGAATTGATCTCGGTATAACAAAATTTTCATTAAATAGGAAAAGGTTAATGAATTCTGCACTGGAGAATGACAAGAGAAGGAAAAGAAAATCTCACACAGTGTAAATATACATACCGGTATGTATGTGCATGGACATTGTATATCACATCAAATATAAAATTGAGGAATGTTGTGAGCTTATAATTACGTTCAAACACGGCAGCGTACTGCCCCGCCCCTAAAAGAACATTTCAGCAAAAGCCTCGATTGAAGTGCACATCATATTACATTCATGTACGGGTATTGTGCGTACGTTTAAGCGACTTGGCTTCCTGTAGCTACCTTTTTTCACCTCCATTTGCAATGCATTTCTGCATGAAATATTTGGAAATCTCTGCAAAGTTTATCGTTTCAATTTTTTTTTTTTTTTTTTTTTTGGGGGGGGGGGGGGGGGGGGCTATTTACAGCATCAAGAGTTAAAGATGAAGTTGAGTTCTGGTCATGCGATTGAATTGTGAAAGAAACGGTGTGGAATCGACCAGAAAAGGTTGATCATCTAGCATAAAAGAATTTGTGTGTATTGCAAGGTTCTGGAATCATCAAAATGATAAGAAATTTGGCCAAGTCTTGGTAAAATTACAAACACTGTACACAGAAAGATGTATATGGGACTAAACGAACACGTGGAGTAAAAATCCTACCCCCGAGTTTTACGATGTTACATGACATATTCAGAATATGAAGGCATTTGAAGAGCCATGCTTTTCAGGGAACATGTCTTATCTGATGTTCTTCCACACTTGCATAATAAGAATGAAAACGCTCACAAATTATTTTCACCTCTTCCCAGAACTCAACCTTCTCTTTAAGCTGATCGATTTAAAACTTCCTGTCATGAGAAGGATATACAAACAGACAGAAGGAGAGCTTACCTTTGCACTGGACAGATGCTCTGTATTTGTTAGGGCAGAGGACCTGCGATGTGATGCTTGGACACTCTGAGAGCATCTTCTCTGTACCAAGACATCGTAAGTCCGTCACCCCGGTGTCTTGGGATGACTTGGCGGGTACCAACGTAACCTGATGGATCGAAAGTCATGGTAATCATGCAAGTTAGTGAACAAATATACAGAATTTACAGTAGGCTTACGGTTGCACCATGTGATGCACCATTGATACAATATGAAAAAGAATCATGTCACAACCATTTCCTGGCTTTACAGGACTTAAGGATCACTTTTTCATGGACTCTCCACACCCTATGCAGTTACATAAAAAACAATCCAACAAACTTTCTTCAAAAGTCATTTTGATAAATCCCCTTTTTTCTCTCTAGATGAAAAGCATTTATATGAAGTATATGAAAAAAAGGTGGGCTAACCCCTTGCCATCTTTCGTCAAAAAGAGGAATTTTTCACATTTTATGAAATTATCTGCAATAAAATAATGTGAATACCGGTAGACAGGGGTCAAGGAAACCCTCTAGAGATGAAAAGATATGAAAATGGGCCGTTCTGAAAATTCATAAATTTTGGCCAAAAGAGATGAGAGTTACATTTTTGACATCAGTTTGGAAGAGCTGAGTGCAGACGACCTGTGCGGCATTAGAGTCCCATCCTTTAGCACAGATGGACTTCCATTCTCCATCTAAGAGGATCTCCACACGCCCCTCTAGCGTGCTGGTGGAGGTGGTGCCATTGGGGGCTGTGAGTTTGATGTCTGCAAGAACAAAATAAATCATGGTATTGTCTCAAAAAAATTATTGGAATGTGAAAAGTGAATAGGTGAAAGTCATAAAGAAAAATAATAATCTGGATTTATTTAGCGCTTAATACGGAATACCATCTCTAAGCGCTTTACAGATGTCGTTATCCTGGTCATCGGATTCATTCACGCACAATGTGCACCATCTCCACTCCCTGGGGAGTATTCCTACCACATGGTCACCGTGAGGGCATAGGTAATTACTAACACAAATGCTTTCGTCATCCTACCAGTGCTTATGGTTTTTGTTTTGGTAGTAGTGACTTTGTATGAAGTGGTAGTGCCTATTTTGGAGCTTTACAATGAGAAGTTGATCCATTTTTGTGAACATTTGTAGGAAAATAAGTACTGTATTGTGTGTACCTATTTTATGGCACTTAGTTCATAAATGTGTACAGTGCATCACAAACACACAGTTGGCAACTAAATTAATCACACCTTCTTGTAAATTTAGTGCTTTTTGTGTTTTTGTGTAACTCAAAAAGAAAGATGGACTGGTTCGATCAGGGCCTTTAATGAAAATTTTAAGAATTGCTCTTTGATATATCACATTTTAAAGAATCACAAATTGGGACAAATCACTTTTTCACATACTCAAAAATTCAAAGACTTGTAGGTCCATGGTAAGGGTATGAATAAATTACTTGTTAACTGTACATGTGTATTCTTGAAACATTTTTCAATTGAGGTTATTTTTCTCTATCACAGATGTCACATGTTGTAACATAATTTTGACGGTTAGAATTGCCTATGCATGTACGGTGGAATCGGTTAAAATCTCCTAATTTTGTCAAATTATCATCAAAAGCTTTCCCATACAAACTGGAAGTATATCAGGTACATTACTTTAATCATCCTATTGTTGTGCACCCATCAACCTCCCCCAGCCAAATTAAGGAATCTATCTAGGCAAAATGCAAATATAGTGTATATCTCTATGCTTTGACACACGAATATATTTGTATGCATGTTTGTACATGTATGCTCATAATCAGAATGTATGCTTATACATTTAGGCGAGGCGTCAAAAATATCGATACCAGCAGGCTGCCGCCTCACGTATTGGCGCATCGAGGCTGCAATTACAGCCGAAGCGTGGCTGGGGCAATTATTTTTCTCTTATTAGCCCAGCCGGCTTGCGCCAGGCTGGGATCTGAGGCTCGGTTTCCATTCGAAAGGCGGCAGCCGGCGCATGCTTTTGAATGCCATTTCCTACCGCCAGCGGTAGCCGGCTGAGCTAATTTAAAAAATGCAGCCAGGACGCACAAGTGCAGTAAGCTGCTGCTGGCTGGTATATTTATTTTTGACGCCTCGCCTTAGAGCACCTGAGTCCAATGGAGTTTTTACCTGAACAGATAGCCGAAGCATCCTCATAATGCTGACAGTTATGTGACTGCCATCCCTCGTGAGGGCAGCTCTCTAGGGTGCTCTCGGTACCGATGCAGTTCACCCCATCCATTAGAATCAGTCCGGTCCCAGGTCCATAAGCTTGACAGCACTTGGCTGCGAAGGCAGCATAGCCTCCCAATTGGTTACACACCACCTGAAATAAAAAGGAACAACTTTAGAATTAATTTCAAATTTCCAATTTTTATCATTTTTACGTTTTCTATTAATTCTAGCATTCCCATAGGCCTACAAATCCTGTTTTACTTTCTAATTTGATTATCACTGATCATCTCCAAGCACCATTATGGCGTACATGTATGTTCATTCTACAACCAAATTATCAAATCTAATCATTTTCTATTTTTCTCTTTATTCTATCCCTGTTTCCCCACTAACCAGATATCCCTCAATCTCTCCATCTTTCCAATCATCAACTTGAACATCCTTCCATCTATTAATTCTTGCATTCCCATAGGCCTACAAATCCTGTTTTACTTTCTAATTTGGTCATCACTGATCATCTTCAAGAGCCATTATGGAGTATGTTCATTCTACAATCAAAACATGCCTCCCAAAACTCATCCATCCATTCCTCTCTCAATCCATTCCTTCTTCAATTTATGTATCCCTCTCTCAATTTGTTCATTAATCACAGATGGATCATCACATCTCCACTCTTCCTTCCTTCTATCTTAACATCCTTCCATCTATTCATCCATCCACCCACCCACCCACCCACTCACCCATCCACCCATCACTTCTTACCTGTGCATCATTGAAGTCCCAACCATCATCACAGATCGTCCATCACAGATCGTCCCCCACTGACCATCATGGAATATCTCCACTCTTCCTTCTATCTATCTATCTATCTATCTATCTATCCATCCATCCACCCACCCACCCACTCACCCACCCACCCACTCACCCATCCCCCCATCACTATCTACCTTTGCATCATTGAAGTCCCAACCATCATCACAGACCGTTCCCCACTGACCGTCATGGAATATCTCCACTCTTCCTTCCAATGGAGTCCTACCGCCCACCAGTCTGATACCACCTGCAGGAGAAAATGTAAAAGAATTACTTCAGTTTGATTTGGTGTTTTCCTCCATCCTTGAACACATCTTTTTTTCTTCTACAGAAGTTCTGCCTCATTCCTCTCATGGATCAAAAGTGGAACCAATGGATCCCTTTCTTCTATTTATAATGTATATTATGTATCTGTGTATGCGGGCGTACCCATTACAAGCTCTGCTTATCGGGTTTCGTGCCTTTTTCCTTGTAATACAAGTTCTCTTATGATATTTATGTTCCTACGTATAAATTGTATTGTTTGAACAGATGTCACATATGTTTGTCAAATCGAATGGAAGAAAATAAACGTTCATTTGAATTTGAATGATTTCACTGGTGTGTCCTTCAATACATATATACACATACAAGGACACTGCATCAACAATTTCTTCCATTTGCAAAGTCAAATGTCGATCAGCCAGGAAACATTGGCTCAGTTTGATTCATTTTATATATGTCTCATTTAGACATCTATTCATTGATAACAAAAATATACCAAACAGTGCAAAAGAGAATTACTCTTTACATTCTCTCATGCTCAAATCATGAGTCGAAATAACTGAAAACTTCAGACAAAACCTTAATTTGATATGTGTGTATATTTTGTTGATGCTGTGTCATCACTGACTGTGCTTTCTGGTAAGACTGAATGAATGCTATATCACTTTCATGAAGCCCAAACCTCAAAATACACGATTAGACTAGTATATCATACATGCCAACATTTGAAAATCAGAAATCTGTACACTATGTGCGCGAAGCGCACATCATGGGCGCGAAGCGCGCGCGCACATCATGAGCGCGAAGTCCTTTTAGCCGGGGTCCAGGGCCCTAAAGCGGGCCCTGGAAGCTCTGGGTTTCCAGATGCTCTCTGGTGCAATCTGAGACTATTTTAGGGACCATTTCCCCTAAAATTCAACCCAAGTTTATGGGTAATTTTTGTGTCATACCAAACAAAAAAGTGATTGAAGTGAATTCCACATTTTAATTTATCCTTGGCAGAGGCAGAGCAGATAATAGACATAGATTTAATTAGCCACTCATGCAGAGTGATGCATTTAAGTCTAGTTACTTTTTAAATAATTATACATGACATAGATCTATGCATAAAATGAGACTGGCAATAATGGTATTCAACTTTCCAGACAACAGTCAACAATCCAAAATTATTGTAACTCATTGAGCTACATGTAAATGAGGTTGTCAAAATCAATGTCAGCAGAACAAGACATCTGTTGAAAAAATATAATTATTTCTTCATGAAAGGAAGGAGCATTTGGCTATGGGCACCACATACTTTCAAGTTTCAAAACAATGAAATCGTTCCTTGTATTCCTGTTTGTACTTCTGAATTCGTCTTGCTGCTGTTCCGCTCATTTTGACAGATTTTCTTCCGAGACAAATCACAAATCACAAAGTATACGGTACCTCGAAACACGTACTTTGCATGGGGACCTATACGGTGCGCTAGCCGCGATAGCGAATGCATGCATGCTGATATGCGCATGCAAACGTATAGAAATGATACTTACGAGATTTGCCAGCGCAAGTATTTACGTACGGAAATGTTACGTACGAAAACACATATCAGAGTGCACGTGGCGCGCAGCAACACGCTGCCACTGTACGTACATATCAGTGCACGCTGCACGCACCTTGCGCAATGCAATCCGTTCAGCACTCGATCGGATCAATGCTATGTATGGAAAGCCAAATTCCCCAAAATCGGAACGTTCCGTTTTTTAGGGCTATAAAAACTTCAAAAACGGAACAGTTCCGTTAAAATCGGAACGGTTGGCAAGTCTGGTATATTACGTAAGAAGTATTTCCCAACAACAACTTCCAGTCAGTTTCTTTCAAAATGTAACACTGTCTTCATTTACTGGCCACACTTACCTTTACATATGACATTAGCATCACTCTGGCAGTCTGTAATCTCTCTCTTCTCGTAGCTGCACTGAAGGAGACTGGTCTCGTTGCCTCGGCAGGTGAAGTTTGTCATGAAGGCCACACCAGTTCCAGGCTCGAAAGATCCCACGGCATCAGCAGAGCTGTTGTACAACTGCCTGAAAAGGGAAAGGAACAAAATGGAACTAAACATTGCCAAACAGACTGAATCTAGATGTTTCCTAAGGTTTCAATGGTGCTGTTGTACAACTGCCAGAGAATACAGGAACAATATGTAAATTATACATGTATGAAAGGATCCGGGCTAACTCGGACCCGGTGACAACTCGGCCCGCTGCAAAAACAGTCATTTTTTGTCATTTTATCCTAACCCTCACCCTAAACCTAAACCTAACCCTAAACCTGCAAAACCTGACTGTTTTTGCGGCGGACCGAGTTGTCCCTGGGTCCGTATTAGCCTGACTCCGTATGAAAGCACCTTAACCCAGAGCTGAATTAGCTTTGAACAAATACAAGGTCAAGTCCGGATCACCCAACATCAACCATGTCTTCATAACTAAGGCAAATTCAGATATACGACAGGATGAGCAAGAACATTTCCCAATTCGTCCCTCGGATAGGACGTTAAATCGAGGCTCTGTGTAAAGGAGTCACCATCTTTGCACGTTAAGACCCAACTGCACTATTCGTATATGAGTAGGGGGAAACCCTGGTGTAGTGGTCCACCTGCATATATATCTGCAAGAATCTTCAGTATTGAAGAGGCAGATTATACATAAGAAGAAAAGAAGAAAGCTTTAACTCTACTCTTTTTTCAATAGCCTGAGCTTCAAACCTTCAAACAGGCATTCTGAGATACACACCAGACTGCATCTGGAAGACTTCTGACATATCAGCAACAGTACTGTACTACAAGTGCCTGAGAGTCCACAGAATTTTCACTCTGGATCTCCATGATGCCAAAATATTAACACAAGCCTGGGTGTACATGTCCCCCTCCCCCCCCCCCCTCCCTCAAGAGTTATAAATATTTTTCATCTGAAGCCTTAGGACAAATATCATAGAGCCATGATTATGCATAAGTACAAGTATGGACCTACCTGCAGAGTACATTTGCATCCGATTTATCCCAGTTCTCTCCACATACACGCCCCCATCGACCATTGTGAACGACCTCTACGCGACCCTTAGGCATGGTGGAGTTGCGGTCGTCCGACACCAAACGGAAGTCTAGGAAGAGGAAGTCCCCAGTATGAAAGGAAGTGGGTTACTATCTCAGGATTCCTTCAAATAGTGGGTAAACCATAGTTGACCCACAGGCTCTGAACCAACAAGAAGCCGCAGGAATTCATTTCCTATAGTTCTACAACCACTTGTCGTTTTTCCCAATAAAAACCCTTTTTTTAAGTTACGTGGACCACAAGTAAATTGTTGCAATTTATTTTTCAGTCTAGGATATTTTAAGATACTAAAGATTTTAAGCTTCCTAATAAGATGAAATTAGAACTGCCTTTGGGGAAGAGCTTACAAAATGAATTCTTTCATACATAATAATAAAGTCATTCTTATACAGCGCATAATAATAAATTCTCTATGCGCTTTACAACAATCAATTATACAATGAATTACATGATTAATCTAAAGATTTAATTATACATGGATTAACAGAAATACATATCGTATACAATAATGATAAAATCAGATATAATATAAATGATATAAACTTATGAACACAATTATAACAGTTAAATAATTACAATCTTTTATTGTAGTAAGAAAATAACATTATTTGACATAAACTAGCATATAATTACAGACTATTGGATGAACATAAATGTCTTCAGAAGTGATTGTATGATGAACTCAAGATAGATGAATTTAAAAGGGCCAAATTCAAAGTTAATATAAAGGTCAAAATCTGTCATAAGGGCTGAATGAAATTACTGGACTACTGCATGAAATATATAAGCAGTAAAATATGGCAAGAATGTATTATAACACATGAAGCCCATATTAGTTCGTCAGGTACATGTACTGTACATGCGGGGAAAAAATTGTCAGCTGTACCAAAAACATTTTGGAGCATGTGGGTTAAGGTTTGTAGCCTGAATTATAAATTATTTTCATAAAACACCACAAAAATACAGTAGAACCTCATTAAAAGGAACCATTTTAAAACAGGTAATTTTGGGCCAATCCAACTTCTATTGTCATTCAATCATGACCAGGGAACCATTTCACAAAGCCTTTTTTCAATGACAAATATCAGTGACAAATCTGCTGATAACCAATCAGTAGCAAGGATTTCAGTAGCTTATAAGAACAACTGTCATTTGTCACTGATGACAAGTTTTGTGAATCACCCCCCTGGTAGGAAAGATCTGCTCCGTGTACATACTTCTGCAAGATACTCCTGCTGCCTCGCTGGTGCCACAGTTGTGTGTTCCCCAATCGCTATGGTAACAGTCCTCCACCCTGGCCTCGTCTCCGTTGCATGCCACGTCGTCCAGGAGGTAGGGGTACCTGGGAGGGGCGTGCTGACTACCGGAGTAATGGGATACCACCTCATAGTTGCCCAGTTGACGACACACCACCTGATGAAACAATAATAATAATAATAATGATAATTATATAATATTGGATGGTTTTGAGTGTGATACAAGAATATATTGCTCGAGCTACATGTATGACAATATTGTAGAGTCAAAGACGAGTCTAATATTATCTTAGCGAGAGCAATATATTCTTGTATCACAAGAAAACAAAGCCATACAATATTATTATTATTATCTATATTAGTCCGACTAGTGAAATAACAAATTTGACTTACCTCGGTAAATATGGCTTTATTTTTGTGTGATATCGCCATGATATCGATATCGATAGTTGAAGTTCCTGGATGACTGAGCAATACTAAAACAATATTGGTCAGTCAGCCTGGTACTGCGCTAAAGATATTGAATAAATTGATCTATCATACCACTTGGAAGCCTTAAATAGATAATAATAATATTGATGATATCGAGGGTTCAGTGACACAAAGACATAACTCCATATTTTTCCAAAATGAGTATTTTATATCAAAATGTTAAGAAAAATGTGGGCTTTCCAGGAAACACAAACACTTAACTCCACCCAACACCCCCCATTGAAGTCAATGGCTAGTGAAACATAGACTTAACTCCTTACTTAAGGCCCAAGTGCTCAGTGACACATGAACCACTTTCTCTCAAAATGACCAAAATGGAGTTGCGTCTTTGTGTCACTGACCCCTCGATATATGAGATTGGTAAGGTGCCGAAACCCACTTATAGGCATATGTTCAAGGCGCACTTGTGAACCAAAATCAAAGAAAGAGATCACGTAAAAGCTTCTGCATTGGAACAGGTGTAAAATAAAACATTCGAAAACAAAAGAATTATATGCAAAATTAAACAGATACATTTGATGAAGATTATTTGTTAATAGTTCCATTGTGACGGCCCTGCATGAGCAAAGGTTCTTTCCCCATACTTAGGACTGAGTTAGGAAGAACCTCAAATAGTTGCCTCGATCAGCCCATCTTATGGCTGAACACGGAACACTCTGGAGAACCATCATCAACAGGGTCACAAAGGGTGAGCCATGACCCCTATGACCACGACGACACAAGGTCTTACCTGTGCATCTTCTATGCCCCAGTTGTCATCGCAGATATTTCCCCACTCCGTTCCTTTGGAGATCTCTACATTCCCCTCAAGGCTGTGCCTCCCTCCAGTGAGACGAATAGTCACTAGAAAAGGAAAAGAAGGAGAGAATTTTCAAAGACCCATGCTTCACAGATAGGTACAGTTCACAACAAAATTATTCATCCTCTTTGGAAGGTGTGAACTTTTAAGTATGTAAAAATGGATTTGTTCTGATTGATACTTCTTGAGAATGTGACCTTTAAAAGCCACACTGTACTACTTGTAGCTACTTGCTCCCTCTATATAGAAAACAATGCCTAAACGGTGACCATTGGTCCCCCATGATCCTCTTTTTCTTATGTTAATTGAGAGCCGAGTTGATGAGATAACCACCTGTCCAGTGACCTTGCAGGGTGGTCTAATCCCTCCTATTAACTATTACAGATAAGCTTTAGGCCTATCTTCACTAGTTTGGCCAGGAGGGATTAGACCTCCCTGCATGGTCACTGGCAGGTGGTTATCTCATCAAATCAGATCTCAATTAACAGAAAAAGGGAACCATGGGGGATCAAAGGGTACCGTCCGAGCATTGTTGGCTGTATAGAGGGCGCAAGTAACTACAACTAGTGCAGTCCCACCTTTAGGCTTACATGTACATCTATAAGTATTCAACAAAGGCCCAATTGAAATGGTCCACCTTTCATTCTAGAGTTATGAAAAGAAAAAAAAACTAGATGGAATTTTGACTGCGCGCAGTTGAAAATGATGCCTCCGCCATAGAGCAATTTAAGTAAGTTTGGAGTTTAAATCTCCAGTGGTTCTTGAGATATCATGATAACAATCTCAATGTATGGAATTTCATAAGTTGACCTCTGTGACCCTTGACCTTTGACCTACGTGCTCCAAAATCTAATCAGATTGTCTTCCTATGGTGATACACACTATCATTAAGTTTGAAGTTTAAATCTCCAGTGGTTCTTGAGATATTATGATATGGTGATACATACTATCATTAAGTTTGAAGTGAAAATTCTCCAGTGGTTCTTGAGATATCGCGATAACGATCTCAATGTATGGAATTTCATAAGTTGACCTCTGTGACCCTTGACCTTTGACCTACGTGCTCCAAAATCTAATCAGATTGTCTTCCTATGGTGATACACACTATCATTAAGTTTGAAGTTTAAATCTCCAGTGGTTCTTGAGATATTATGATAACAATCTCAATGTATGGAATTTCATAAGTTGACCTCTGTGACCCTTGACCTTTGACCTACGTGCCCAAAATCTATTCAGATCGTCTTCCTATGGTGATACATACTATCCTTAAGTTTGAAGTTTTTACATCTCCAGTGGTTCTTGAGATATCATGATAACAATCTCAATGTATGGAATTTCATAAGTTGACCTCTGTGACCCTTGACCTTTGACATACGTGCTCCCAAATCTAATCAGATCGTCTTCCTATGGTGATACATACTATCCTTAAGTTTGAAGTTTAAATCTCAAATGGTTCTTGAGATATCGCGCTAACAAACTCAATACAAGGAATTTCATAAGTTGACCTCTGTGACCTGTGACCTTTGACCTACGTACTCCAAAATCTAATCAGATCGTCTTCCTATGGTGATAAATACTATTCCCGAGTCTTAAGTTTAAATCTTAAATGGTTCTTGAGATATTGTGATAACGGTCAAACAGGACGGACGTACGGACGGACGTACGGACGGACGTACGGACGAGTTTGCGATGGTATGCTTGTGTGTTTAGTTTTACGTATGAGATATCCTTGTGTGTCACTTTAGACTTGTGTGTCTAGCCACACAAGAAAACTATCATATTCAGTGTCTAAGATGTCTGACATGTCATCTCTAATCAACTAAGATTTAGTCACACAAGAAAAGTTTCTCCCAAAAAAAGGCCCAAAATAAATGTCCAAATTTTAGAGAGGGGTTGTGTCCAAGTAGCCAAACGGAATAGTGCCATCTACAGTTGACATCCAGGTAGCTAGGTACTATGCACATCTGCAGTACTTGTGTGTGTGTGTGTGACTTGTTAGTGTGTAGTATTTGTAAGCAAAGTAGTAGGCAGTGTATGGCTCTGTGTGTGTGTGTGTCATGGGTGGATGGTTTTGTGTGTGCAGTGTATATAATACATGTAATGTTTTTTTATGCCACACAAGCCTTAATTTTCTTGAATTGGACAGGGGTAGACAATAATGTCGTTCTGCCACACTAGCCTTAATTTTCATGACTTGGACAGGGGTAGACAATAATGTCTTTCTGCCACACAAGCCTTAATTTTCATGACTTGGACAGGGGTAGACAATAATGTCTTACTGCCACACAAGCCTTAATATCCATGACTTGGACAGAGGTATATAATACATGTAATATGTCTTTCTGCCACACAAGCCCTAATTTTCTTGACTTGGACAGGGGAAGATAATAATGTCTTTCTGACACACAAGCCTCAATTTTCTTGACTTGGACTGGGGTAGATAATAATGTCTTTCTGCCACACAAGCCTCTATTTTCTTGACTTGGACAGGGGTAGACAATAATGTCTTTCTGCCACACAAGCCTTAATTTTCATGACTTGGACTGGGGTAGATAATAATGTGTTTCAGCCACACAAGCCCTAATTTTCTTGACTTGGACAGGGGTAGACAATAATGTCGTTCTGCCACACAAGCCTTAATTTTCATGACTTGGACAGAGGTATATAATACATGTAATGTCTTTCTGCCACACAAGCCCTAATTTTCTTGACTTGGACAGGGGTAGACAATAATGTCTTACTGCCACACAAGCCTTAGTTTTCATGACTTGGACAGAGGTATGTTATACATGTAATGTCTTTCTACCACACAAGCCTTAATTTTCATGACTTGGACAGGGGTATATAATACATGTAATGTCTTTTTGCCACACAAGCCCTAATTTTCTTGACTTGGACAGAGGTATATAATACATGTAATGTCTTTCTGCCACACAAGCCTTAATTTTCTTGACTTGGACTGGGGTAGATAATAATGTCTTTCTGCCACACAAGCCTTAATTTTCATTACTTGGACAGAGGTATATAATACATGTAATGTTTTTTATGCCACACAAGCCTTAATTTTCTTGACTTGGACAGAGGTATATAATACATGTAATGTCTTTCTGCCACACAAGCCCTCGTTTTCTTGACTTGGACAGGGGTAGATAATATTGTCTTACTGCCACACAAGCCTTAATATCCATGACTTGGACAGAGGTATATAATACATGTAATGTCTTTCTGCCACACAAGCCCATTATTTTCTTGACTTGGACAGGGGTAGACAATAATGTCTTACTGCCACACAAGCCTTAATATCCATGACATGGACAGAGGTATATAATACATGTAATGTCTTTCTGCCACACAAGCCCTAATTTTCTTGACTTGGACAGGGGTAGACAACAATGTCTTTCTGCTACACAAGCCTTAATTTTCATGACTTTGACAGAGGTATATACTACATGTAATGTTTTTTATGCCACACAAGCCTTAATTTTTCTTGACATGGACAGAGGTATATAATACATGTAATGTCTTTCTGCCACACAAGCCTTAATTTTCTTGACTTGGACAGGGGTAGATAATACATGTAATGTCTTACTGCCACACAAGCCTTAATTTTCTTGACTTGGACAGAGGTATATAATACATGTAATGTCGTTCTGCCACACAAGCCTTAATTTTCTTGACTTGGACAGGGGTATATATTACATGTAATGTCTTTCTGCCACACAAGCCTTAATATCCATGACTTGGACAGAGGTATATAATACATGTAATGTCTTTCTGCCACACAAGCCCTAATTTTCTTGACTTGGACAGGGGTAGATAATACATGTAATGTCTTACTGCCACACAAGCCTTAATTTTCTTGACTTGGACAGAGGTATATAATACATGTAATGTCTTTCTGCCACACAAGCCCTCATTTTCTTGACTTGGACAGGGGTAGATAATAATGTCTTACTGCCACACAAGCCTTAATATCCATGACTTGGACAGAGGTATATAATACATGTAATGTCTTTCTGCCACACAAGCCCTAATTTTCTTGACTTGGACAGGGGTAGACAATAATGTCTTACTGCCACACAAGCCTTAATTTTCATGACTTGGACAGAGGTATATAATACATGTAATGTCTTTCTGCCACACAAGCCCTAATTTTCTTGACTTGGACAGGGGTAGACAATAATGTCTTACTGCCACACAAGCCTTAATTTTCATTCAAGATTCAAGATTTTATTGTCCATAATATAATACAGAAATTTGTTTTCCATTGGTATAACATGTAATACATAAAACATAAGACAAAAACATGGTGTCGTGTGCTGAAAGCCAGAAGGGCGTCAAGACTCTATAGAAAGAAAAAAAAGTATGTGAGCAGGTACGGTTCTCCGGCTTTCAGCACAAAACATGACAAGATAGTTATATGACTTATACATAGCAAGAATTTTATATACAATTCTGAATCACATCATGAATAAATTCAGGTATGAATATAGATGTGAATATGAGCAGCATCACAATCGAAATACGAGCAGAAAGATAAAGGAAACGAGAGCTCAAGCTCGAAGGACTGATAGAAGAGAGAAATATAGGGAAAGTTGGTAGGGGTCCAAAGGAAAATGGGAGAGACAGAGAAGGAGAGATGGCATAATTTCCAATCAGATTATAATGCATGACATAAATATACAACAAAAATCAGCAGCAGAGCTAAACAAACGGATGTTTTGACCCACAAAGGTGATAAGGCGGAAAACTTTCCAACCCAATCCCTACAATTTACTGGGTGGGTAGAAAAAAAGTTAACAAATAATCATAATCGCTATTATTCAGCTTAAAGCTGAGAATTTCGTGTTACTTTTGCATTATAGATGTGCGTAGAATTTGGAATAAAAGAATTTCTGTATCTGGCTCTACGGGTAATTGGTACACGCAGGCGGATTCCTGACTTGGACAGAGGTATATAATACATGTAATGTCTTTCTGCCACACAAGCCCTAATTTTCTTGACTTGGACAGAGGTATATAATACATGTAATGTCTTACTGCC